CCCACACACACGTGCGGGCGCGCGCACACACACGCACACACAAACACACACGCACGTACACACCCACATACACACAGGCGCATGCACGCACACACACATCATGTTCCTCCGTGACATTATCTTGTTGTTGTTTGCCGGATATACACCGCGCCGCTATAGACGCCTGGAGTGGGGCTGAGTGGATGTTAGACCGTCGTACACAGACACAGAGATATAGGCCTATATCGACAATCATGTTGACTTCCTTCCCACCACCTACAACTATACTTGATATTTAATTATCCTGTCACAGTAATGGCGTGTATGTGTGTGTGTGTGTGTGTGTGTGTGTGTGTGTGTGTGTGTGTGTGTGTGTGTGTGTGTGTGTGTGTGTGTGTGTCATCGCAGCTTATTAACTAGAGAGCTAGCGGGTGGGAATTGCGGAAGTAGCAGCCCAAGGAAAGCAACAAAATAATGGACACGCACCCACACGCACGCACCGCACGTACGCTACGCACGAATACACGCACGACACCACGATCAGCCCGCCCCCACACAACGTACATACGCACGCAGACACGCACACACGCAGCATAGTCACGCACACACACGTACACACGTACAACACGACACACCACATCACACAACACACACACACACAACACAGGACACACCACACACGCACGCGCGCACACCGCACGTCACGCACAACACACTCACACACACACACGACACACCACCACACACACAAGCACGCAGCACCACACACACACACACCCCACACACCACACCCCACCACCTCCACCCTTACACCACACGCACAGCGCGCCGCAACACACACGCACTACACAACACGCACGCCACACATCACACACACACACACACACACACACACACACACACACAACACACCACCACGACACAAACGTAGCTGAAACACCACACTGCACAACATTCTACTCGACGCCTGGAAAATGTAATGGCCAAAACTGGATGGCAAAATATCGCGGAAATGTTTTGCCTAGAATTTGATTCGCCATGAAGTTCACAATGTCCTTGACGATCTTGGACTAATGTACGCTATATATAATATATATTATAACTAATAATATATATATATATATGTAATAATATATATAATATGCTATATGCTTTCTTCTATGGCTTCTTATTCTTTCTATTGCATATTGTGATCGATATTTAACATGGGAAATGTTTAACTTATTTTTTTCGCCAAAGTAAACAATTTACTCAAATACGATTTCATTTCTTCTGATACTGAGCATGCGCGAACCCAGATATTGTTATATTAGTCCAGATATTAGCCTGAAACTCCGAGTTGACTGGTTAGTGAGTTACTTAGTGAGTTAATTAATCACACATAATTAATTAATTATCCTCACCGATGACGTCATTCCCTCTTCCCATTGCTCAGTTCTGCTCGTCGCCAGAGGTCTCCGACAAGCGCGAGTTCCCGACGTTCGCGCGCACGCGACCGCCCGCAGCGCACTGGCGGCGGCGCGCCGTCTCCGTGTTACGTCACTACGGCTGGACGAGCGTAGTGTTGCTGAGCAGCGATAGATGGCGCTACAGAGGCGTCGTGAGCGGGCTGCTCGTCGTGAGGCTGGGAGAGCTGGTCGTCGGAGTGGCCGCGCACAGGTCGTGGCAGGGGACGTACTACCATCATTACATGTCCGTCAACCCGTTCGTGAGGCTGGTGAACGAAACAAAGGACCAGCGCACGAGTACGTTGCTGTAATGCTGCATTGAGCGATGATCGACGACGACGATGATGATGATGATGATGATGATAGATGAGACGTTGATGATGATGTGATGATTGATGATGATGATGACGAAGCGAGAGAACGACCCAGGATGATGATGATGATAGATGATTGATGATGATGATGATGATGATGATGATTAATGATAACTGTTAATGATAATGATAATGATAATGAAATGATAATGAATAATGATAATGATAATGATAATATAATGATTAATGATAATTGATAATGATAAGGATAATTAATGATAACGATAATGAATAATTGATATGATAATAACCCACCACCATATTTATTTTACTGTTCGCACGCGCAGCCATAGCGTAGGTAGTGAGGGTGGGAGACCGGCACAGAGTACGATCGGACTCATGGGAGCATGCAGCAACTGGGTTGTTCGATGACTGTCGATACTCGTCCTGGGCTGTTCACGGCGGGACATACCGCCCGACGCTGACCCGGAAACCTTGCATGAAAAGGTTCAGGCGTTGCAACGTATCGATCTATCGCTTATCGAATATTGATTGATTATTATAGCTAAGCTATTAGTATGGCTTCGATGAAGGAATGTATCTAATTATAGTATACACTTAATTTGATGTTCTAATATGTAAGATCTAATATATATTATATATATAATCACATATATATATATATATAATCACATATATATATATATATATATAATCATATATATATATATATATATATATATATATAGATATATATATAATCATATATATATATATATTAAATATAATGGTATCCTGATTGTCTCATTTCTAAGCTAGTCGGGTAAGTTTCTTAACATTTGTCAGTCACGATAGCTTTCCTGCGAGAAGTTTGTTTGTAAAACTGCCGGATGAAGGGAAAAGGGTTAAATTTCAACTAGTGTGTTCGCCTGCGTAATAGATGCGAATCATTCTACCAAACACGATCTGAGTGAATATAATGGCATATCGAGATATAGAACACCGCCAAATAACGTGAAAGAAATGCGTTTTATCATAATGCATAATGTTTATGAAATATAACGAATATATCTCTTAAAAAATTACAAGGAAAATCTATTATTATTATTATTATTATTATTATTATTATTATTATGAAATCTTTATTGTACATGTAATGAGGACAATACTTTTCATTGAGAAAAAATCGGATGAATGCAATAGCGTTCAGCAGTTAAAACGATAAAATTTCTGAGTGATACAGAACATAATAGTGCTCTACAACATGAAGAGAAAATATATTCAAGAGTCAATCAATAATCAATCATTATTAGTCTATGACCTAACAATCACTGTGTTGAAGCTGCCTTTCCAGCCTCTACATTTTCTGCTACTTACCTCTCCTCTCAGTTACTAAGCACACAGATCCGACAATAGCCGCTCTATGAACACCTCTGTGACAATGTTTACGTCATCGATGACGTCACGCATTCGTTGGCTGCCATCTTGCAGGTCCGTTCGATGCGCGAGCGACGGAGGAGAACGTGCGAGCGTACGGCTCGTACCTAGGCGTGATCGCAGCGCCACCTGTCGACCCGCAATATCAACAATTCGTCGCATCAGTTAACGAGTATTTAGAGTCTCCGCCGTTCAGCTATCCCAACCCGCTGCGAGTGATTGGAAGGAACAAACACGTACGTATGATTATTGCAAACCACGTATATAGTCGTGTGTGTGTGTGTGTGTGTGTGTGTGTGTGTGTGTGTGTGTGTGTGCGCACGCACGCACGCAGCACAGCAGCACAGCACACACCACACACAGCACACACACACATCAACGCAACTGCACGCACCACGTCGAGTCGCACACAACCACATCAGGTGTACCGTGCACGCACACGCACGCAGACGCACCGCACGCACGCGCCGCACACCACGCTACGCAGCACGTCAGGCACGCCAGAGGCACGCAGGAGGCACCCAGCACGCTTACCGACAGCCCGCTTCCATTCCGTGCACGTCACGCACTGCACGCACCACGCATAGGCGCCAGGCAGTCGCCGCAGTCAGCGCACACACTCACAGCACTTGCGTCCCTAGTTACGCCGGCCACACACACACTCACTGATCTCCACTCAACTCACCCACACAACACCACATCGTCTCTCCACACACACACACACACCCACACACACACCCACAACCACACACACAGACAACACAAACACTACACTCAGCTACATACACACACTATACGCACACACATACGCACGCTTACATCCTATCAGACGCTTAAAATCAAGCTTCACTTCCTTTTCTTCAGCATATTTCATCCATTACAATACCCTATAATCAGCGACTTGGCCGACAACAAAGTTACCGGCCGGCCAGGTGCGCACCAGCACACCGCCGACTACAGCCAAGCGATAGCGAGGGGCACGTAGAAACAGTACGTGACGTCACAGCGCATCTTCCCGCCGAGGCCGCGGGAACAGTGCTGATGCCGTGCATACAATAGGCGTTCGCCATTCTTGAGTATACATGGATAGAAGAGGAACGTGAGTGATAGCCTTCGCGTACAGGTACAGACAACGCGAGCAGACATAGAAAGCTAATCGGCCTGAAGAGATACAAGAACGAGTGACGGCTAACCCAGTGCCAGGTCAGCGGGAGGTCGTGGCAGAGAGAAGAAGAGAGCAGAGGGAAGAGAGAGAGAGAAACAGATATAATTATATATGCAGGAGTTAGATAATCAGGTATTTCCATTTCCTGATTACTCTACTCCTGATTATAATATATATATAGTAGAGAAGAGAGAGAGAGAGAGAGAGATATATAATAAAATAGATAGATCAGAGAGAAGGAGATGAGAAAGAAAATACAAGAAAGAGACGAGAGAAGAGAGGAGAGAGAAACCACACGAAAAGAGGAAGAGAGAGAGAGAGAGATCGAGAGAGTATGAGAGAAGAGAAACTTTCCACCGGTTTACCGGCCTGCCTCCTCGCAATGGCAAACCCACTGGCCCGAGCAACAATCTGAACGAATGTGACAATTGAAAACCCGATAATTATCGGTACGTTAGAAATGCGCCAGCAGTCACGAGATATAACTGATTTGGTACTAGTATATTATTTCTTTGCCTCCTATTAATTTATTCCCGCCAGCATCGTGTGACGTAAGACGTTATATTTCCTATGACGTCACGTTGACAAGTATTTTGCCCCCTCGTAGCTATCAGTAGATTTTAATATATAGTCATACTTATAATACGCATAAGTTAAATATTTATTCTTGTTACCGTGTAAATAAATATACGTATATATATTTTCTTGCGTGCAAGTTCGTCCATGCAAGGGAACATATTGAGTAACTGGACTATGTATTGTTTATCTCCGGTTAAAGAGTGAGACTGCGAATAGACATAATTAAG